ATTCCTGCATTCCTTTCTTCCCATATCCACATCAAAAGTTAGATGATGTAATAGGCCCCTTATGTCTCAAAAGAGGGGATAATAAAGGGTTTGCTGAGATGCCTGCTAACCATTCCATTCAGGTATGCTGTGAATAAATTAATTTTAGAGTGGCTAGTGAGAAGTCACTCATACTCTACTGTATTATGCTGTAATGAGAACTCAATTTGATGTCAGTAACAAAGATACGGTTCTTTATAACAAAGTAACAAGAATTTTTCAAGTTAGTGTTTCCGTCTAAGACCTGTAAACTTAAAAAAATGATACCAACTATTCATAGTGAGTATTACCTGTATTTTTACAGATTGATCCAACACGAACGATATCGGCTGGAAAAGTAAATCTTGGAGCATTTAGAACATATCCCAAGGTAAACAGTTGAGACTAATAAAATTACCCGATTACTGAACTGTATTTTAATTATATGTATAGACCCTTAAGTAAGAATCCCTGTTAAACATTCCATCCAGGAAGAGCACACAACAACTGCTGAAACTTCCTTAGCCTGACGAAGGGTTTTTGAACCCGAAAGCTTGCTTAAAAATTGTTTTCCAACTATTTAAGTTGGTCTAATAAAAGGTATCAGATTCACCCAAAGAACCTTGTCTGCCTATGTCCTTAGACCAACATGGCTACCACCTACACCCGTTAAACATGAATAACTCATAATTGGATCTGGCTTTTGTATTCCTCAAAATGCTTTTTCAGAAAAAAGTATTTTTCAGAAATGCTTTTATCTACATTAAAATATCAGTATATGCATATTTATCCTAGAAGAAAAATAATGTTGATAAAGAGTCTGATTTCAATGTAAAGTAACTCAGTGTAATCTATAAACAATGAAAATCTGTGCTGTCCTATTAAATACTCTTCTTTGGTATGTTAGATTCAGAGGGGGTAACTTCTAGACTTCTTTCCAAGGAATTTAATATTTTTCAGTCCTCCCCTGGGTTGGGGTAGGATTGGATCACTTCTAGGAGTAGTCTTAGCACCTTGCCCAAAGATGCCTATTTACAAGCTATATCCAACAGGAACTGGACTGAAACCACCAACTTGCTTCCATCAGATTATTATTGATTATTTACTCAAATCAGATATGAATCATGTACCCAAGAAGATTCCAGAATCTTTTAGCAGGTCCATTGGGCCATCCGTTTTCAGAAGTTGTTTTCTTTATGCTAAATTAAAACATTTGCAATTGGTCTTAAAAAGACTTCAGTATAAAAAAGTACTTTTTCACTTATGTGGTATGTTTTATACATGTGTAACCTTGGCAGGGCTATAAACCTCCAGATGAAGGTCCTTCTGAGTACCAGACTATTCCACTTAATAAAATAGAAGACTTTGGTGTGCACTGTAAACAGTAAGTACCTCAGAAGTTAGCTATAGTAGAAGGCTGTGATGCTACTAGCTTTGTGGAAAAAATGTTGTTTTTCATTCGTGCTTTATGGAACCCTATTTTAAAGACTGAGGGACCAAATGAAGACACTGAGGCAGCTGAGTCAAAGCAGCTAGTTTCTGAACACCCCTGAATGGAAGTGCCAGTGCCTAATTAATTATGAATATTGACATTAATGCTGAAAAAGCATTTAACAGATAAGTGTACAAATGAGAAACATTTGAGAAATGTCTAAAGCTTTACTTTTGGAATTACGTGAAAAAAATTAATTTAGCATGTTACCATATACTTTATTTTTTCAAGTTGGTTATGTAGTTTAATGACTACACACATACATGCACAGTCTCCATGTGTTTTTGGTTTTGAGGTTCTTTTTGATTGTTTGTTTGTTTTTAAATGAGATAGCCTTCCTTTTGCATATTAGTTCATCTTTTTCCTTGTCAAGTGATGAAGATGTAGAACTAGGAATTGGAAATTCCCAACACTTTCCTTAGGCAAATCAATTTTTTTACCAACTGAAAACTGAGGTGTTTCCCTGCATCACAATATTGGGGTTAAATTCGTTAATATTTGTAAAAAGCACTCTAATTTTAAGAGCAAAATTGCTATGGAAATGTTAGAGCAAAATAATTTCTGATTATTTTAGGTGAACAAAGTGCTGGTATAATATAGTTAATTATTGATATCCAGCTGTAATGTCCTCTGAAAATGGACTGCTTGATAGTGCTCATATCTTTAATTTCTGTCTCTTTCTTTCTTATTTATTTTTTTGTTTCTCTTGCTCATTAAATAATTGAATTGCTTTGAATTTGTGTGTTTACTTGCAAATACATTGTTTTCCTAATGAATTAAATAGTTCCTGAAAATTGAGCTGGGTCAGTATATTAATGTTAATAGGTTAGTGGATCTGTTCTATTTAAATAAGAACTTACACTATTCAAGATGAAATTGTGTGCAATGACAAAGTTTAAACAGGCCAAAAAAATAAAGTATGATGCATTGCTGATTTTGACTGGATAAAGTTGACAGTTAAATAATTGGAGATTTAAAAGTAGAAAACTCATCAGACTAGCTTAATTTAAATTCCATCTGAAACACAAAGTTCTCTCTTGGGTTCACTTTTCCAAAATAATAATTCTAATATTATAAAAGCCTTTGTCTGCCTGTCTGTTTATAACGCTTTATTTGCACTGTGATTGGTTGTCTCGGCAGCCAATCTGAGTGTTCTGTGCTCTGCACAGATAGACGCACAGCAGACCACTGCCATGACAGCAGGGACTAAGGCACCCACACACACACACACCGGAACGCTGCCATGACAGAGGAGATTGAGGGGCCAGAGCTAGCCTCAGTGCCTGGGGCTCCCCCCCCACCTTGCTCCTTGGAGCCAGGGCCCGGAGCGGCCCCCCTCCCACACACACACAAACACGCACACATGCACGCACGTCAGCAGTGAGGGGAAGGTGGTGGGAAAGAGGGGAGCAGGAAGGGGAGGAGGGATTACCAGTGTCAGCGTGCTGCTGACTGCTACCACCCACCACCATCAGCCACCTCTGCGTGTGAGCTCCCTTACTCCCCCACCCCCCTTGTTCCTGGGAGGCAGAGGCGGTGCAGGGTTGAATGGCAGGGGATGCAGTGGTGCATGGCCCATACCCAAAGCAGTGGGAGGGAACTGGACCCAAAACAATGAGGTGGGGGGAAGAGGGGGAACAAGCCTAGGCCCGAAGCAGCAGGTGGGGAAGGGAGGGAGCAGGCCTAGACCAAGAGGGAAGGGGGGAAGCTGGACCCCAACCCAAGGTGGGGGAGGTGAGTGACATAGGCCTCTCTCTCAGCACGACGCCCCCCCCCTCCC